TAGGTCTAGGGTAGGTCTAGGGTAGGTCTAGGGTAGGTCTAGGGTAGGTCTAGGGTAGGTCTAGGGTAGGTCTAGGGTAGGTCTAGGGCAATTTTTAATGCCGGCTAAATTAAACGGTTAATACGGTTAAACGATTAAACGGTTAATTATCATAAAAAAAAGATTAAAATCGGGTAAAATTTTTTTTTTTAATTACGTAAGAATAATTCCTAATTTGCATTGAATTATGTAATACATGGCTAATGATTAGCTTCAATTTACTTATGAATTTTGTCAACTGATGTTATTCTTATTTTTGCGTCAGTGATGAAACGATTGATTTTAAAAGTTTTTCTTTTACATACCGATACGAATGATTATCTAGTAATGGTGTAATTAGAATTAGAATTGCATAAATTTGTTGTTGTGTATATTGTATATATTGTTGAGTCTTAAATTCTAAGTTATTACTTATTCGCATTAAAAAAAAAAAAATTGAAATACGTAACATTAAGTAATATATTAATCAATTTAGTTAATTACTTATCATAATTCTGCTTCGTACTGTGTATAACCGGATTGTCGTTAATTCTAACGTGGAAAAATCAAATGTTTAATTGAAAATGTATATTTAGATTTATACATTTCTACATGTTATTTTTTATATGAATTATACTAAAAAGTATAAGTGCAGAAATATTTACGTCACTGGATTATACGTATTTCATTGTAAAAACTTTTGACACATCCTTACAATGGGATATAATTCAGTGACGTAAATGATTTTGCACTTATACCAAAAAGAAATAATAATGTCAATGAAATCCAATCAAATTTTTTGGAGGTAGATCAGTTATACAATATCAATTTCCCTTGTTTCCCACACGGTAATGACGTATAATAAATAGTTATTGGATGTGTAGCATCCAATAACGGATTTATTTTTCTTTTTCTGTTATAACGTGAGTTTGTGTGAGTCTATTTGGCGTATAACAACTGTTACACGACCCATGTTTACTATGAAAAAGAAAAATAATATCTGTTTTACTTAATTAATACTTTGATAAATTGATGGATTTGGATTTACTTACTAAGGAATGACGAAATAAAATCGCATTGCATTATGGGGACCTGAGTCGGATCTGGTATTAATTGATTATTTTTGATTTATATTTTTGATTTAGCAAATTTACAATTTATAATGCATACCGAATATTTACAAGTTTAATCTGTCAAGATATGTCATCTTTCTCTAGCGACATGACGCACAGGAACAGTCACTTGCACAGCCACGAAAAATTTATTTGCAATTAGAACTGAAACATTTGATTATCTTTCTTTGCATCATGATTACATATAGTAGAGGTATATCTAATGGTGATAACATGTGATTTATCGTTATGTAATTCTGTAATTATTATTCGTCTAGAAAAACGTAATGTAAAAATAACATGTGATAAGAAACAGAAGTTTCAATTGTTTCAAACGTTAATTTATTGATGCGGAAATCAATGCGTAATAAATTACATTTTATATCGTCATAATGAATATTTATAATAATTATTACCAATACAGTACAAAGTTTATTGCTAAGTTAAATCCATTTATTATTGATTAACGAAATAATGTCGAATTTACATCATCTAAGATTTTTATAATTTTTTATCCTAATATAAATACTCCACAGAGCTCTGCGTTTTCAATAAATAGAGCCTTCCAAATCTAAATTGTTTCGAAAAACAAAAAGTTCAAATTCTCTCGTCTGTATTAAAAACATTATTATTACAAGTTTTCTCGTCTATATTAAAAAACTTTACAAAATGCCAATCCAAAAAGCTGGTGAACAAGTTGGTGCTGCCGTGAGAAAAGAAGATCTCCAACCCGGTCAGAAAGTTAGATATCATCCCGTTGGTGGTGGTATGCAACTTACCGAAGGAGTCGTCAAGAAAATTATTACTTCTTCCGAAGTAAGTTAAATTTTTTCTTTGTTATTTAGTAAAAAATTTACGATTGAAATATTGAATAACATTATTTGTTTAATAAAACAAGATCGCAGGGGAAACCCAAAAAATGGTTAAAGCGTCTGAAGAAGAACCTAGAGTAATTATTGAGAATTCGCATACTCATAAGGTATACACTACTGTTTTTTTTCGCAGTTTATTTATTAAGTATGTATTAAGTATAATATTTTATTTATTTATTTTTTTTTTTTTAATTCTTCGAACCATTATTTTGTCATTTTACGAAACTTAAAAGGAAACCGGTAAGCAATTTTTTTATTATAATAAGTTATTCGTTATTTTTTTATTTTTTTTTTAACTTGCTAAAAATTTACAGCTTATAAAATTGAGAACATTGAAGAAATCATCGAGTAAGGAGCAGGAGGAAACTGTTTCTTAATGATGGGTTGAATAATTCGTACTGCACATATGTTCTTTCATTGAAATAATTGTTATATGTAATATGCTGGATCAATGTAATCGTTGTAGTCATTGAAACGTCTCATATAGCAAGCGTTGGTTTCTTTTTTTTCTTATTATAATAAAGAATATTCAAATTCGATTCTTTTCTTTTTTTTCAAAAAAATAAAAATTTGATCTAAAAAATTAGCGTGGTATAATATTGAAAGTAAATTTCAGCTTTTATTGATTCTTTTACCAAGATGAATAAAATAATATTCTTGAATCTATAGAAGCATAGCATAGACTATTCCTTTAAAATGCGTTGGCTTTATTTACATAGAAAAAATGAAAATTTTCGCTTCGCTGCAGATTTTCTGTTACACGCTATTATTTAAATGGATGATTTCTAGAATAATCTTTAACACGGTAACTTGTACCCTAATCCAACCTATATTATTTATTATACAGTGTTACAGTATGCAGCTTTATCCTTCACGTTAGCAATAAAGTAACATTTTAAGCATCAAATTAAGACGTACGTACGTACGTACGTACACACATGCACATTTAAGTATTCACTTGAATTGATTAATTTAAGAATTAAATAAATTTGAACTTTATTTAACTATTTAATTATTTAATTAGCATCGGTACATTTTTTTCCCTCGGTATAAGAAGTTTTTCCGAAAAATTCCTAAAAAGCTTTCGATTAATAATGCGTGGTACAAAAGGTATAAATAGGAAATTTTTTAGTCTCATTATTCATACATACTGTACGTACGTACAAACGTAATTTAAAGACATTGTTTGTTTATTCAAGATTTCACATTTATTAACTATTTTTGAAAATTTTAAAATATAAGCCAACTCGTGATCTCTTTTTTTAAAAAGAGAAAAAAATTAGGATGATCATCGTCCGGCATTATTTTAACAAACAAGGAGGGACAGGGTTATTTTTAGAAATATATTCCTGACAAGAATGATTAACCTAATTTATGAAAATGAACTTTATTAGGAATGAAGCCCCTACGCGTATTACGTAGTACAATGTACAATGATTTTAAAATTGTCTTTTTTTCAATTTTTTTAAATTTCGTCACTTAAAAATGACTCAATATCCCCAGACACAAGATGCTAATATACCATCGTCCACATTACCAGTTATTCAAAGTTCGTCATCTCCACCAAATGCTACTGATGCTCCGCCAAACGTTACTGATACTCCACCAAATGTTACTTATAATAATTTAAACGTTACCGATACTCGGCAGAACGTTACAAATACTCCGTCAAACATTCAAGAAACAATCCAAATTACCCAATCAACTCCTCCTCCTCTTTCTCCTCCTCCATATGATCAAGCAATTCTTCAACCTCCAAATATTCAAGAAATTCCACAAAATATACAAGTAAATAATGAAGTTGTTCAACCAAATTTTTCACATAACATTCCATCATCTCGTCCATATTCCTGTCAATATTTCTCTCAACCTTATCAACCTCCTATTATTGTTGATACTAATAATGCTGTTTATGATGGGTCAACTAATAATAATAATAATAATACAACAACAGTAACTAGAAAAGTTACCATTTCTATTAGAACATTTATAACTATAATATTTATATTCTTGTCCCTTATCTATTTTCGATATCTTTCTTATGGATTTTATATCGCCCTTCTCGTATCTATCATAAGTGTACTTTATTTTTTGGTTAGAGTAATTAATATATATAATAGAGGTCAATTATTTACCGGAAATCTTTTTACTTATGAAGTAACTAAATTAAAATTGGTTTTAAGTGTTTTATCATGTATTGTATTTATTTTATTATCAATAGCTATTTTAACAACTTTTGGTATTATTAATTATGGTTTATTATTTTCTTGTGTTTTTGCTCTGGCTGTATTTTGGCTTCTATCTACTATATTTATGTATAATGAATATAGAAGAAATCAATCTGGGAATATGACGATGAATGGAAATAATAATATGGTTGGGTATGGAAATAATAATATAGGTGGGTATGGAAATAATAATATGGGTGGCACTGCACCGGGTTATCAAGTTAATAGTGCTTATCAAACTAATGTGGCTAATGTTCATCAAAATGATCCTGCTGCTGCAAATAGTTATGTGATAAGTAGTGTTAATAGTTATGGTCAGAATGAGTATTATGTTATTAGGTAATTTTTGCGTCATTTTTATTTTGTCAAATTTTATTTTATTTTATTTTGATTAGATTAGGAATCATTTATATTTTCCTTTTTTTTCTTTTTCTTTTTCTTTTGCGTGTGGAATGGTTGAACAATTAAACATGAGAATTGATGGGAAAATATATGGCCAATTAAAACTACTGTAACTATCAAATATCTTCTTTTTTTTTTCTTCTAAATTGTTTCTATACAAAAATATTGTCATTTATTTATTCAATTTTTATTCAATTAACGATTTAAAATTAGTTATTATCTTTGAAAATTTATCTTTTTGTACAAATTTGGTGTAAAATAAATAATTAATCGAATAAACCTAAATTTTACAATCAACGTTGATTTCATTCTTTTTTTAATAACGACATTAAAGAGATGTGTGCATTAAAGTAGTGATATATTCGATGAGGTTAAGTTGGCAGTCATTCCTTAGAACGCAATACATCAGATGCGAATTTTAATTGCTAATTATTGATGTTACTAAGTTTTATAATATTTATTACAAGACGTTACGTCGTCTCTTTGATAGTGTACGTTTATTATACACGTAGATAATGTAAAATTGCGAAATAATGCACACTTGAACATTATTCTGAGCATTTGCGCGTTATTTCAATTCTTTATGCTTGATCATTACTGAATTATAATTATAATGATATAACTGATATTATATAGATGAGCGTTATTTCGAGATGCCCATGAGCGTCATTTCCATGTATCTTATGAATAAGTAATCAAAACAAGTTGAAAGTTATTTAATTAAGACAATTTTGTTTATTAAAGGATTATCAAATTTACGGATGATTTCTAGTTTATAATTAATTTCTCTAATCCATCCTAATCTTTTCTATTCTAAGATGTTAATGGCATTCACGCTAAAACATTTATAACTACGATTAATGCAATCGAATAATATTAAACTCTTGATACTTGATGCTGAAAACAAATCGCCACCCAAAAAAAATTCAATTTAAAATTTCATGCTGTTAGTTTAGTGTTATACATGTCGTAGAAATTGATTTCTGCTGCGCCGAAAGTATTTAGACACCGATTTTTCGGTAAAATAAAGCCACAAGCCATAGTCTATGCCACAATACGAAACATAAGCCGAAATCCAAAACATATATCATAATCTAGCAATTTGTCTTATGATAATTTATAGCTACTGTATTAGTGTAATTATGTAATTTATACGTAGCAATTATTAATTATACTATCGATATAATATGTACAGTATATATTAACTTGCAATAAAAAAAGCAATTTATATTACCAATGTGCAAATACTAAATTATCCACTAAAGCGTAAATTTAATAATGCTCAAAATCTCTGTTATCTAACAAAGCGTCAATCAAACAATGCTCAACAAATCTCTAAATCATCCAACCAAAGCATCAATATCGAATTCCATATTACCATGATCTTCAAATTTGTATTTAGAATTATTGATATCTAGAAATATAATAAAATTTATAAATCGAATTATTTCAGTATTTAAATGAAATATACTTATTTTTTGTTTTTATTACATCACTTAAAATCACTGCATCAATCGATGATATATCAATTATACTTTATACTTCATTGCTTTCGGTATTATAACAATTATACTTTATACTTTATCGCCTTCGATATTATATTAATTATACTTTATTACCTTCGGAACTTATGACATTAATTATGACTTTAAGTATTGATCATAAGTTGCGGCATGAATTTTAGATTTAGGCATTGCCACATGTCAAAATTCATGTAAAAATTATGCCACAATAATTCTACGGCATGTATAATTGATTTGCAAGTAAGCCCATATAAAGTTAATTAATTGTTTCTCATAACCCGGCCGGGTCAGCTTTTGTAAATTTTCGATACAAAATTTTATGTTATTTATTGTAAATACTTCCGGCTCGGTTTTTAATATACGTTTTAATATTTTCTAGACAAAGAAAATTTCTTTATTTGATTGGCTAGTAAAATTGTAATTTTACCCCTGTTGCATTCAGGGATCTAAAGTTCCCTTGTAACAGTGTACGAAATCTGATTGGGTGGTATGATTACAGTTAATACAATTTTTTTTTTTTAGAAAAGTTGGATATGAAATTTAATTTTCGTTTATGAATCTTAAACGCCATAACATATCAAAAACATGAATTTAATACAAAAATTTGCATTAAAAGAGAATAAAACACATTTTCAAAAGATATATTAATTAGGATTAGAGCTTCGTTCAATTTAGAGTAGCGATCCGGATAACTATATCCGGATTTGCGCAGATATTATTTAAACGGATATATCCGAATCCGATAATGTCGGATTCAGATTATCCGTTATCCGTTTTACAGATATCCTTATATCCGATCATAACAATAATTTTGATATTTAAAAATTTTAATAA